AAAAAAACCCCCCCCCCCCCCCCAGGCAAACAATTGCGTTACCGATTACGATTTGAGTTGTTAATCGAAAAACTAGATAGTACAAGGAGTCACCGCCAGAGGGCAGCTCGCGCGTATTTCTACATTATCGCTCTGCATTATCGACCGAGTAATCTGGACAGCGTTAAAAATTAAATGGCATTTTTGAGGATCGTCAAAAATATCATCGATGACGTGGTCCACTGTCGCGAATTTTTGAGAGGCTCTTGCAGCAAACGAAATATAAAGGATTTCCACTTTCAAAAATCATGGACGCGTCTTGTTTTGTTGCCTCGACCTCGTCGAGAAATATTAATACTTAAAAAGGTGAAAAGTTAACTGTCTGACTCACCTCTCGGAGCTCCTTGATCTTCAAACCACCCTTGCCGATTATGCATCCGGCCTGGCTCTGATGCACGAGCATGCGCACGTCGATTTCGTCATTGCCATGTCTCGAGCCATTCTGGAATCATTTAACGATAGAGTCATTGCGTTACGCAATCGCGCATCGGCTATACGAGAAATTCGATCCGTCGATCACGATAGGCGTTCCACTTTATATACAAGAATAAGACGAACGAGTGACACGATGCTGTAGTAAGTATAATGCAGTATGTATATACGTATATACTATGCTGTGTACGATGTATATTATAATATATAGTGCCGTAGTAGATACTGCGTTCACCATGTAAAATGATATTCGCGTGCTTAGATCACATTGAAAAATGACAAAGGTATTATTATTATTATATCTAACGTTGATATCGATCGACAGATCCAAATTTCTATGGCCAATGACAATTTCATGGTATATATATATATATATATATCTTTAAGTTCTCGAGGTTGATCTTACCTCCTCGAGATTAGGCACAACTTCATTCACCACCTGAAGCACGGTGTCGAGGTCCGAGCTGATAGTCAGAACCCTAAAATCAAAAAGACTCGAAAAATTAGTGAAAGGTATTGAAGAATGGTGTCCCGATGTTTCACAGGTGGAGGATTAAAGAGAGGAGAGAAACAAATATAATATATATCAGACGATGGGCAAAAATGTCGATCGACATAATACAGACTACGCTACGATTTATCTCCGACTTACGTCAGAACGCCGTAGTTTTCAACAACAGGGATACGAATGTCAATCAACGTAAGTCCGCCATTTTGCAAGAGAAACAGAGAGAGGGCGAAACGTAAGTAAAGAGACGCATAGAAAACAAAACGAAGGAGAAGGAAGTGTCAGAGAAACGCGGTACGAGGAAAAATGCAAAAACAAAAAAAAATTCCGATGTGAAAAGTATGTGAAGGTTTAAACGGAAAAAGAAAAAAAGAGTAAAAAGGAAAATAAATGGTTGTAGCAGGAAAAATATTGCTCTTTGGTAAGTTTAAAGTAATAGTGCGAAGGGGGCGTGGTCGGGAGAGGAAGAAAGAAAAGCAGTGGATAAAGGGAGAGAGAAGAAATGAGAAAGACGGCAATGAGACAGACTTGCAGTGCAAGAGAATTAAAAAGAAGATACAAATAATGGTGGAAGTTCTAGGAGCTGAAGATCCAAGAGAAACGAAAACTTTTTAAATAATAGCCGAGCACAAATCAGGAGGCGCTTACAGCTTCCGCCATATTTAATCCCATTCTCCTAGCGTTAATGTATGAGGCAAGCATTTCGTTTAAAATTAGTTACGAGGCACGGACGTCCGGTTGATCTTGGCGTCCATCTGAGAAATTGCAAAGACACATCCGACACACATGTACACACAGGCATGAGAATCGACCTATGTATACACTTAAAAAAAAAGAGGCATACTAACGGCTACGTCGCGTTTCTTCGAGAAGATATCACCGATAGCAAAATGGCGGACGCAAAACATCCACGGTGATTAGGGGCGGGCAGGGG